GGCACGATGGTACGCTCTTCTGAATCAGGCCTGGCTAGTTGCTAGTTAACCTAGTTGAGCGGTCGCTCGAGCACATCACCGAGTGCGGGGGGCGGCGGGGGGTGTTGCAATGTATTGAGTAGCGTTGTTTGTCATTCCCGCCGAGCTTATCGGCACGGTGGACTCGTGTGTTGTGTGTTCGGGAGATAGATATCGTGTCAGCTTTTGCTTTCATTCCCCCGCGAGCGACATGTCGTGTGAGTGAGTACGCCGTCCTGCCGGTGACCATACCGCCCCCAACCCCTTACAGCACACACATCCCGTGCGAGCACATGTAACCCGGGCGTTTTTTCGACTGCGCTCCAATGTCCAATGTTAGGATCTTAGCGAGTATGCAATCCATGCAATCCCGCAACACTGGGGAGCGCAAGTCCAGGAGCACCCCGCGGTACAACGCGCGAGTTGTAATGTTTTGGGGATCTTAATACGTTATAAATGCACAAAAAGTGTAAATGCTGACCGCCGAAAGACAGCTGACCTTATCTATAAGCTCGGCAACATTTTGTCTAGTCCTGCCCTCGGTCGTGCCGGCTTATCTGGCCCCATCATTCACACGGGCTGATTAGTAAATCTGACATCCGCACTTCCCTGGTGTATCGGATGACGGATTTGTGCCGAACGAGAAAACGAAAAGAACAAACAGAACGAAAAAGACAAAAAAAGCGATAAGCATGTCAGTGTCAAAACATCAATTGCCTCGTCCATAAAACGAAATGACGTGTCAGAACAATAATCCACGTAATGAATTGAATAATAATGAAAGAGATATAAATGCTCGCGTACGACCCATAATATGTGGATAAGAACTTAAGGAATAGGAAGTGTGGAACGGTGTAGAAACCGTGAAAGAAATTAACTGTCATCCCTGACGCCTCAGTTGTAGACTCAGTTGTTGTGGTACGCCGAGGTCACGTGCCCTGTGCCCTTGCCCTACGCGCTGGGCTGGGCTGTCAGTGTGATAAGAACCCCGGCCCTGACAAGCCCTGGAAGTCTCGTGTTTTTTTTTTGTGATCTGGCCTGCCTCTGACGTTTGACGCGACCGACGCGACGACGTTCAGGGTCCACAGAGAATTAGTTCACGACGCAGCTCGGATGTATTGGGTAGAAGCAGATAGAATTCACTGATAATAAGGCTGCCACCGTTGAGAAACCGACGACGGCAGAGGGAGTCTGATCGGCTGTGTACATAGAGACGGGGAAGAGAGGTGGGGGCGGGGGGAGAGATGAAGGCTGGTTGTGAAGCTGAGTATAGTTAGTTCTGCAAACAAGGTGTTCGTCAACTATGTAAACAATGCATTAAGGAGTTGTGATGTACAACAATCTACCAGAGAAAGTAGTGTCTCTGTCATGTAGGCTATTTATTCAAGTCTAGCTGAATTTGTTAAAATCAGTTTGCGTACATGCGTAATGAATGCATTCACATCCTTGCAAAGATTTATTTTCGGGGTTTAGCTATGAAATTGAAAGGAAGGTTTTTTCCGTGATCGTGAAACCCGTGGTCGGGGAGGGGGCGTGACGCACCTCGATGTCCGGCGCATCCTTGCTGAGGGCGGGCGGGGCCATGTTGTCCTCTGGCGGTCTCGTGTCGGTCTCTCGTCGACGGGTCGGGCGATGCAGTGCTGGGGGATGCGCTGCTGATGAACTTGTCGATGCACCACTCACAGCGGCGGATAAGATACGGGTGGCGGTGGAGCAGTACAACCTCTCGCTGCGACTGCTCCAAGTCGACTGCAGACGGGACGCGACGGCTCAACCCATGACAGTCGAGGGGGGCGCGGGGGCCGCTCATGGCAGGAGGCCGGCCGGCGGGGACCGCGGCGGGGCCGCCGGGGCCCCCGCAGCCCCCACGCCCCGCGGAGCCCCATACCGGCACGACGGGCTGGCCGCCGGCTCGGCTGCAACGCCCATGCAGCGTGCATGCGGCGCGGGGAGTAGCGCTGCCCGTGCTGGCTGCACTCCCCGCACTCCCTGCTCGCCACGGCAGCACTCTAGTGTAAGTAAGTACCCGCGGTGTGTCCCCGCTCGTTAACGCCGCGTAGCGCCCCGGCAATGGCTCCGGCCTCTAACGGGACGGGCGGCGCAGCGCGACGCGTGCTCACCACGAGGCGAGGTCAGTGACGCGGCGCAGGCGCAGCCTCATATGCGCTGGAGTTGTTGTTGAGGTCGTTGTTGTTATTGGTTCTGGTTTTGTTAAAAATCCATCACCGTTGTCTGTCGTCGTCGTGGTTGTTGTTGTTCATGTTCTGTGTTATTTCATTTCATTGTTGATTCATGTTTTTATTTGTTGTGTTATTTAATAAAGCATTCCGGTAAAGCTGAAATGCAGAAGAATGCGGGGAAGAAGAAAACGGAAATCGCTATGATTTAACATGGTGATTTCCGTTTTCTTCTTCCCCGCATTCTTCTGCATTTCAGCTTTACCGGAATGCTTTATTGTATTGTTGTTTCATGTTTCTGTGTTGTGTTATTTCGTTCTATCTGTATATCCGTCTGTCCGTGTACCCTCCCCCCCCCCTAAATGGTAGATTTAAATAAAGCTCCGGTAAAGCTCAAATGCGGGGACAAGAAAACAATAGTAATTTCCGTTTTCTTGTTCCCCGCATTCTTCATCCTTTTAGCTGTACCGGAATGCTTTATTCAGAATGTAGGGACCTAGGAGCCTGTTAAATTGCGACCATTTCGTGGGTTTCTTGTGTGTTGATCTTCCATTAGTAGTGTATTTCGGCTAACAGAGGAAGAAGAACGGGTAGAACATAAAGGCTCCTGATTGGTCGACCCTTTACCCCCTCTACCGAAGGGACGTATCTGTCGGCCAATCGGAAACGGCTATGTTCTACCCGCTCTTCTTCTTCCTCCATTAATCGAAATACACTATTTGTCTTCTGAGTTGAGCTCCCCCGGCCGCGCTGCGTGGTCGCGGTGACGGGGCGCTCTCCAGACTGGGTGGGCTCCGCGTCTCCGCGTCGGGCTTCGCTAGAGACAGTCTCTAGCCTCCCCTGGTCCCTGTCACCGCCACCAGCCACCACCCTCTCCGCCCCTGCGCCGCTCCTCGCGGCCAAGCACGTCCCGGACGCCGCCCGCCGCACCTCGACCAGCCGACACCGGACGCGAGTGCGGTGGTCCGTCCCGTCACGGCTGCTGTCCCGCGGCCGAGCCGAGCAGCTGACGGGAGAGTTTGAAAGGAGGCGACCGACGCCGATCCCTTTCTATGTCGTTGACGGAGTCGCGTTCTGCTTCTACCTAGAACCAACTAGCAAATTCAAATCCCTTCGTAACTTGATAATAAAGCATTCCGGTAAAGCTGAAATGCAGAAGAATGTGGGGAAGAAGAAAACGGACGTCACCATGTTAAATCATAGCGATTTCCGTTTTCTTCTTCCCCGCATTCTTCTGCATTTCAGCTTTACCGGAATGCTTTATTTTCACCGACTCCGTCACCCTGACTTTGCCTGTTCGGGCTGTATCTCGCCTATAACCCGTCGTTGTTTCGTGTGCCTCCTGATATAGGTGAAAGTCTGTGCATGAAGTAAGTCAGCTGTAAGAGTGTGAAGTGTGAGTGTCATGTCATAAGTGTGTGAGCACGGGGGAGGGGGCGGCGCGCGCCGTGCGGTGTTCCCCCTCTCCCGCGCCGCTCGCGCCAGAGCCTGCCGCCAGCCAGCCAGTTCCGTCAGTTCAGTGTTCAGTTGGCCGCTGGCTGCCGCAGCGCGCGGACTCTTCGATCGTGTCGCAGGCCGAGACTCGCACCGCGTGCGCGCGCGAACACGGCCGCCGCGTGCGCAAAGTTGGATGTGTCGTGCGTGCGAAGTTTGTGTATTTGTGTGCGTGTGTGTCTGTGCCCAGCCAATGCGCACTCGCAATGATGTGTGCTCGTGTTTGTGTACTCCAGTTGGAGTGAAGTGACTGCGAGGGTGCTTTGCAAGAGCCCCACCGGCGGCAGGGAAGTCCCGCGTGTCGGTGCAGCGCATCCAGCGCATCCAGCGCATCCAGTGCAGCGCCCCCAGGATTAAAGGGCAGCCGGAGGGACCTCGCTCGGCTGGAGCCGCGGGCGGAGCGGACCGGAGCGGACACCGGACGTTGAAGGAGGCTGCCGGGCGACCGGTTGTTGGCGGCGCGAGTGAATAGGGCTCGGGCCATTGCCGGGTTATATTGCAGTGATGCACGCCGTGCCGCCGCGGGACGCGGGAGGCGTGGGCCTCAGCTGCGCCAGCCGCGCCAGCTGCGTCGCCGTGTGGGCGGAGCAGAGCGCGCCAGGGCTCCAGTGACGACAGCCACAGGACGCTGCTGCTGCTGCAGCTGCTGCAGCGGCTGCTGACCGGACACGGACCGACAACACGCGGCTCGGAGACAGAATGGAGTTCGTCGTGCTAAAGGTGAGTGAGTGTGTGTGTGTGGTGGGGTTCGAGCTCGGCTCCAGCTCAGCCTCGACTCCAGCCGCGTCTGGACCGTGAGCGGGACTCTGTCGGTCCTTCTCCTCGCTCTTCCCCCACTTATACCGCGGCCGCTGGACTTGACACCCAACGACACCGCCGCGGGGTTCTCCAGCGAGACCGCCCCACCGTCGCGGGAACCCGCCTCGTAGGAAAAGTGGGCGTAAAATTACGCAGTACCGCTCGGGCTCCAACGAGTATATAACGTGGTTGCCATTGAAAAATCAAGTCACAACAGCCAGCAGGTACAGCTGTCAATCCAATTATTGTCCCATTATGCCCTTCCAGTTACTTGGTAAATGTGTCAGAAGAATGAATTAATTTGATTAGAGTTGTAATCTTAAGGCACTGCCAGTCCTATACTGTAAATGTTGAAAATTGCCTAATTGAGTGTAATCAAGAAGAAGTGAAAATCCAAATGAATCAAAACTGATTGGTGTATATGGGTTAAATTGCACATTTTCAGGGTTCATTAGAGGTATCAGAGGATTGAATTCAACCTAAAATTATGCACTCACAACTTTTGGAAGGTGCATACACACCTTATTATGGGTTATTTCGGATATTTCTGTGCGTAGACTGCTGCCGTTTTCTTTCGTCTTTCTGAGAGCTAATTTCATGTTCATTGCACATTCGCCGGGGGGTAAAACACTTGAAATCGCGTCGTTGCGGCAGCAGCCGCTGCTCTTTTCAGGTGTGGAGCACACCCGCAGCCCCTGTGGGGCAGCAGCAGCAGCAGCAGCACCAGACCGTAGGGCCGTCAGCTGGCGTGGCCCGAGCGTGGCCAGTCCGTAGGGCCCCCCCGACTTGCCTTGCAGGGCCGTGCAGCAGCCTGCAGCCGCGTGCAGCCCGTGTGTTATTTTTAGCCCCCTTGCTTCCTCTCCCGTGGGGCTGCCCGCCTGGATGCTCGTGCAGTTCCTGCCGCGGTGTTCGACAACAACACTGCGCGACGTGCCTTCCCCCTTTCCCCCCTTCTCTTCTCCCGGCTGGTGCGAGGAGCTGAGGAGCGGCTCCACGCTTCGATCTGTCATCGCGGCCTCCACAAGATCGATGGGATGAACTCGTTAGACGTTAGGACCGTGTCGGCCGGGTTGGCCGCTGCTGTCTGCGGGGCGCGGGGTGGGGGGATGCGATGCGCGCGGATGTTCAGCGCTGTGTTGGTCGTGGTTTTGTTTGCGCCGAGCGCGCTGACTGGACGACAGGGAGGAGTCCAGCCCGGCGCGGACACGTCCCGCTCGTGCGGATGTCTGCTATGCGGAGGCGAGGCCGAGGCGGCTGGCCAGTGCATTCGTTTAGCCCTGTCCGGCCCGGCGCGCCGCTGCGGCGCATGCTGCTGCAGCGCCCCCCCGAGACTGGGAAGACGGCCAATGCAGACGATGCAGACCCCTTCACCCCCCGC